TTACCTTCTGGGTTGTCAATTTCAGAGTGTTCATGTTCCTCCCCATCGGCTGCTCCATTTCGTGTTCATATTTTGAAACTTTTGCTTCGTTTTTTGGGTGGCTCGTGGTTTAGTTTTCGAGTATTGATGGTTTGGCGTGCCAGTGGAGGAGCAGAAGACAGAAGGGCCGTCCACTAGGTTGTCTTTCCTGGGAATAGAAATTGACACGGTGGACATAGTTTTTCGTTTTGCCAGACGAAAAGGTCATTGTGCTGCTGTGGCAGGTTGATCTGGTGATGTTGCTGGGTCATCTGTTTCTTGCTTGCAGAGTTCTGCCGATGGGTCGGGCTTTTTGTAATTGTTTGTCCTTGTCGACTGTCGGGATTAGGGAGGCTCACCACTTTATTAGTCTGGAGTGACTTCCTGGGTAAGTAGGCGGTCATGCTGGTTGCATGAAGCGGTGTCCAATTCAGAGTTGGACCTCTTTGCGGATGCATCGGGATCTGTAGGTTTTGGGGCCTTCTTTCAGGGTAAGTGGTGTGTGGCAGCATGGCCTTCAGAATGGCGTGGGTTGGATGTGATTCGTAACCTGAACTTTTTCCTATAGTGGTGACTCTGGCATCGGGTGGTGGTTTTTCACACTGACAATATGAGTGTTGTCCATGTGATCGATCGTCTGCATCTCCTCCAGTTCTGGCTCTCTTGCGACATCTGGTGCTGTTAAGCTTAAGGTTTAATGTGTGGATGCAGGCACGGCATGTCCCCGGGGAGTTGAATATGGTGACTGACTCTCTCTTGGTTTCAGTCAGACCGTTTTCGGGAGTCTGCTCCGGGAGCGGATTGAGAGGGTCTTCTCTGCCCTTCGTACATATGGGACCTAGTTTTGGAGGCTTGATGTCCTTGGTGTCGGACTCGTTGTCTGCCTCTACATGGAAGGCATACAGGTCAGTATGGGCAGGTTGGTTGTCATTTGTGGATGGGTCAGTGCGTCTGTCTGAAACGGCCCTGTTTGAGGTTACGTTGAAATATTTGAATAGTTTACTTGAGCAGGGTCACTCTTGTGCAGCGGCGGAACGATTGTTGTCTGCTCTGTCATTCCTGTTTCGCTTTTTGGGATGGCAAGACATTACAAAAGAGTTTTGCTTGCAACGGGTCTTCATATTCCATGGCTGGAGTCTGAAGCCTCCGGATCGACATCTGACAATTTCGGTTCAGATGGCAATAGTCTGTTATTCCAGGTGGCATTTATCTTCTGTTTTTTTGGAGCTTTGGTGGGGGAGCTCGTAGACCCCAATTGCCGTTCGATTGCCCCGTTATTGTTATCAGATGTACGTTGGTCGGATCGTTTTGTGGACTTACATGTTAGCAGGTCGAAGACGGATCAGACCGGCAGAGGCATGTGGCTCCGGGTGGGTAATACTGAGTGAGTTTTGTCCTGTTCGGATGTTTCATAGTTATATGGCGGTTAGGCCATCGCCGGTCTCGCTATTGGTACATGCAGATGGGTCCCCGCTTACTCGTTTTCAGTTCGCGACGGTGGCTTGTGGGTGAGATCCTACGGGTTTCTCTCCTCATTCCTTTTGAATTGGAGCTGCGACGCAAGTTGCGTCTTGGGTTTTGCGAGTTCGCCTGTGCAGCGTTTAGGTAGATGGTCATCCAGGAGATATCAGCTGTACGTCCGGCCTCATTTGTTGTAACATGTTTCAGGGTGTGTTCCCCGTAATGTGTGGATATTAGGACATTTGTTTATCTATTGGGCAGCTCGATGGGCAGAGTCACACTCCTATGGACGGAACCTGGGGATTCCAGCGGATTTAGCGAGGGTTTGCTGGAGGGGTATTCGCAGGTTGTCCTGCAAGCAAGTTTACCCTGAGTTCGTTGCCCTTAGCAGATTCGTGTCAGGGGCTGTCACCATTCTTATCCATGCAGTGGGTAATTATTTAGGTAGGGTTAGGGCCTTGGATTTTGTGCAATCTGTCAAGCATGAACTGGCACGGTGTCTGGCATTGTTTTCTTATTGTACTTTGAAATGGTCCTCGATTGTTCCCCGTCCATGCTGGCAAGCCTTGCCGCATGCTAAGGGTTTGGAAAGGAGCAGACACAAGTCGAACGTCACCATATCTATGTTTGTGCGTTGACTGACCTGGTTGTGTGTCGGTCCAACACGTGGAGCTGGAGTGGGACAATTGAAATTTAATGAGGGCAGATGGAGTGCACCTTAATAAATTTTGTTTCGATATTTTTAATTTGGGTCTACAAGCAGCAATAGAACAGGCGCTGTCGGCGGGGGGCGCGATGCCGGAAAATGGGAATTAGGGCCGGCATCCCGGGAGCAGAGTAATTCACGAGACAAGGCTTTGGGGAGTCGCAGCCTGCTAGGGCTGATGGCAGAAGGCAGAAGGCAGGCTGTACAAACTCTGGAAATACACGGTTTTATCTGTCTGTTGGATAGTCACCCTAACAGTTGCCAGGTGGTGATAATGCTGGCGGTGTTTAAAAGTTGATTTAATAAAGCTGTGGCCGTTGCTCTTATCCAATACTCAGGCGTCATGTCATTATTGAGGGATGAGTTGGGTGTAGCCTTTTGTAGCAGATTTGGATAATCATGCTATGCAGGTGAGAGTAACTGAGGTGACTAGTGGCGAGAAACAGGTATTGCAGTAATAAAACAAAATAAAATTAAACAATATCTTGGTTGTCCAGATACGATCCTGACAGGGCCTCAGGATCTCGTCACGGTATCTCTGCGCATTCAAAATACCATCAATAAAATGCACCTGTGTTTTCGTTGTCCATAACGTATGCCACCCTATTCTATAACCCCACCGCCACCATGGGCCACTTGATCCACAACGTTGACATCAGCAAACCGCTCACCCACAGTACACCATACACGCTGTCTGCCAACTGCCTTGTACAGTAAAAAACGGGATTCATCCGTGAAGAAAACCTCTCCAAAGTGCCAGACGCCATAGAATGTGATCATTTGCCCCCCCCCCCCCACCCACCTTCCCTTTGGACCGGTGGGGGCTATCCCGGTCCCCACTGCAGGGATCTGATGCTGTATGGAAACATACAAGCCCGTCTAGTCACTCGGATCCCATTGCTCCGAAAACAAAATGGCCACTATGCAGACTGCACTGGGAGCATTTACACCGACTCACCTGCAGGCAGCTTCATTACTGGTGAAGTCTGATGGCGTCGGTTTCCCCTTACGGACTATGTTGGCACACTATTGTCCTAATCACGACACCCCAACAGTTGGTGGAGGGCTATCAGCAGGACGGGCTTCTACCGACTGCTGCCTATATGGGCCTCGAACCTCGAGGAGAAGTTTCTCGCATCACACTGAAGCACTCAGGAGGATCATCCTTTCCAGGGAATCCGATGTTGGCCCCTTGGGGAGCTGGATCTGAGGGCATTGAATGCAGTGACAGGGGGCTGGCGGAGTAAAGCCAGCCGGGCTTGTTTTCCTCCTGAGACTATACCACTGTCTTCAACCACAACTGTAATGGGAGTAGGCTGAAACCATCATAGACAGAGAGTTTAACTGCATACCTGTGGGAAAGCATTAGATTGGCTAAAAATCTGCCATTTTGATGATGTCACAAAGTGGGTGGACCCGCCCGACGCTGGAAATAAGGTGAGTTTTAAACTTTTATGGGGGGGGGGGTTGCAAGCCACCTTAATGGTGGTGTTAACACTACAGGGTCAGGAATACATGTTTGTGTTCCTGACCCTATAGTGATCCTTTAACTTCTCTAAACTGCATAGTTGTGTACTCAATCAGGTATAAAATATATGCATTCTATCAACATATTTCTGTTATAATAAAAAAAAGTTCAAGTATCTCCTATGCCAAATCACTGTTTACCTTTGTGTTTGCATGCGCTTGTTCTAGCTAATGTGACATTGTAAGTCTGACTGTAATTTTTATGCTCAGTAAAAAAAAAAGATTGCATAGATTGGCATTGAGGGATTCAAGGGGCATTGCCAATAAAAGTGCAAGATTATAAATTTTATCATTAAAAAGAATATTGGTTTGTCTGTAAGTACTAATAGCAACATTGTCTAAATGCAATACATGTCAATTAAAAATGGAAAACCGTGTTTGGGTCATTGCCGTTTTGCCAAGCTCTGATTTTGACCAGTTTAGCTGTGTCTGGCTGCACACTATATAGAAGCAATGGTCATATCTAAAATGATTTTGGCTGGTCCAAAAAAAAAACCTGCTGGTGTAGAATATTGCATATTCTATGTGTCTATTGATTATGTATGGATTTCTGGATTCCCATAAGGAACAGATGGTAATAATAAGTCACAAGGCTTTCTTTGTCTGAGAACTCTGGAATGTGGGTTGGAGGTCTTGTCCTTATATGGCTAGGGTTATACTCTGAAGTCATTATGGTCATATCTATATAGAATAGGGGCCAAAAGCCCACGAGGGCTTGCTGTTGCGTATTGCTTGCTGCACAAGGTTGTTCTTGTCTGGCTAACTATGTAGAGACTAACTCTCCCTTCAGGAGTCCAGCAATTACCATCTGCTGTTGAACATCCATTATCCTGTAACATCCTTTGTTGTTTTATTATGTATCTGTAACTCTAAGAATAAACCTGAAGAAACCGTAAGTCAGATTGCTTATTAGTATTATTGGTTAATATGGACATATATTAACATGGCGAGCCTTTTACCTAAGAAGAAATTTACATAAAATACTTAATTCAATCAACCTGGAAAAAGACACTGAAGAATGGAATTTATTACAGCTGGTAATAAGACTTAGCTGTGCACGCTTCTGAACAAAGTACACTGGCTGCTACAGCTCCAGAAACCATCAAACAAACATTATCATAAACTGCCTTGGTTCAATGCACATAGCCCCTTAAGAAGTTATAAGAACATTTATAAACGTCAAATGAGATCCTTGCAAGAGAGCTCACTTTTGTGCAAGATGTGGGAAGATATAGAACAATTACATGATAAAATCACTTTAACCACATCCAGCTGTTCTATACAAAGCCTTTAATATTACTAGGCGGGGCCGGGCCGCTGAACTGAGAGGCAGCAAAACACTATGCCTCCCGGCCTGAGCCCAGAAAACAATGCAAAATAAGCGCCGATAACACCCTGAAAATGATTTGACTGATCCACATTTAACAAGCAGCACCCAAGCTTCCTGGGGATCCCAAACAGAGGCAGATCTCAAGCCAGGAACACTGCAAACAAGCAGGCCTTTGCACCATCACGCGCATGAAAGATGGCGACCCCTGCCAACACGAACTGACAGGCAGACGGGAGGCAATGATATACCGGCCACAACAGCTGCCTGAAAGAATTCTCTGAGGCAAGGGGCGGCCCGGCTCCGCCCCCCCCCCCCTTTTTCCCCCCACCCGGCTGGGGGGGGGGTAACCCAGGCCACATGGCGGCGGCACACTCCGGGGCGGAAGATACCGGGCGGGGTCCAAGCCGGCCGCCTAAATAGGCAAAGGCAACAAATACAGCCCACCCGAAGACTTACCCCAGAAGGAGAAGCACCAAAAGGGCAGGGCCAGGCGCCGGACGGATCAACCAGGCCATGGCCTCGACCACGGGAGAGGTGAGTGCCCGGGCATCTGGGTCCGGGGTCCCCAGAAAGCCCAGTCCCTGGCGCCGTGAGCGCGGTGGGGCTGGACTGCGCCGCACCCCTGACGGACCAGTGGTTGTGGGGGGCGGACACCGGATCCAAGCATGTGGCTGGCATCGGGTGAGACGCAGGAACACACTCCTCAAGAGACCCACGCAGAGCCGGGGAGGTTCAGGGAGCAGACAGTTTAAGCTCCCAAGTGCCCACGGAACTGTGGGGGACCCGACCAGTGAGCGGAGATCGGCGTGGAGGTGAGGGAAGGAGGCCAGGCACCCCAGGGACAATGTGGAAGCAGCACCATGAGAGATTCCCCCAGACGGACATGGGGACTGACAGAGCCACCCTGTCGATTGATAGCTCGCATTTGTGTTTTAAAAGTTGCATTCATTTTTTAAGTTTTTACCTATTTTGATTATATGATGCTGGTTTAAAATGCCAAAGGAATGTACAGTTTATGCCATAATGCCCCTAGGGGCCAAAGGTTGATACTGTCCACTGATGCATACTTAATAGCTGACTGCTGCATGATAGACTGTACAGTCGCTTATTACTGTAAACCTGATATCCAAATAGCTTTGTTATATATTAATGCACAGCAGACTAAAAACAAATATGCTCCTTATGTTAAAAGTTGGAAAAGTTTTTGTATTTTTGATTATTGCTTAATGTCTGACTCTATTTAGCAAGCTGATTAATTTGCCTCTGCACAGGCGACAATTTGCATTTACTAACCAGCAAACACTCAGCACTTGCACACACCAGTTAACACAAAACACTTACTTAACGCTCTAACCGAACTAAAAGGGCAACACAGTACATAAGAGTATAAAACACAAAGCAACCAACTGTGAACAAAAAAACAGGCTAAGACAAATCCGCCTCTGCGCAGGCAACCAAATGTATATACTGTGTTAAAGGACCACTCTAGGCACCCAGACCACTTCAGCTTAATGAAGTGGTCTGGGTGCCAGGTCCTTCTAGGGTTAACCCATTTTTTAATAAACATAGCAGTTTCAGAGAAACTGCTGTTTATTAATGGGTTAAGCCTTCCCCCTAATCCTCTAGTGTCTGTCTCATTGACAGCCACTAGAGGCGCTTGCGTGCTTCTCACTGTGATTTTCACAGTGAGAGCACGCCAGTGTCCATAGGAAAGCATTGTAAATGCTTTCCTATGCGACCGGCTGAATGCGCGCGCAGCTCTTGCCGCGCGTGCGCATTCAGCCGACGGGGCGGAACAGAGGAGGAGAGCTCCCCGTCCAGCGCTGGAAAAAGGTAAGTTTTAACCCCTTTCCCCTTTCCAGAGCCGGGCGGGAGGGGGTCCCTGAGGGTGGGGGCACCCTCAGGGCACTATAGTGCCAGGAAAACGAGTATGTTTTCCTGGCACTATAGTGGTCCTTTAAACCAATGCTTAAGCCCCTGTGTGGGCAATCACTTGCTTTATTACAAATCAGTTTGATGCATGAATTTATATTGTGCATACAATAAAAATATTCAAAACAAAGCCTTTAATATTACCATATGAAGCATTTTGCTTAAAACTGTTTTTGTAACACTAAACTAGGGAAGGAGGGCCATTGACCTATAAATATTACAGCAGATGGGGCATTTGACATTTGACATATTAGGGTAAGCTGCTCTCTGGGAGACTAAAGTGTAAGCAATAGGCAAGTAAGAGGCAGTAACTTTGGAGAAATGGGAGCACGGGGCGTAAATGCAATTGCATTAGACAAACAGGTGACTTGGTGGTGCTGGTTCTGGGGTAACTAGTGGCAACTATGTTGATTGACATTGTTGTTGAATGTCTGTTGGGAAAGTTCCAGTGCTTTCAAAGGGCTCTGTTAACTAAGTGCTGAATTTACTATAGCTAGTTCATTCATCTAAAGTTTCCATAGCCAGGCTGATAACATTTCTCTGGACTGAAACCACACTAATGAATCTCATGGCGATTGAATAAATCTCAACCAAATCACAGCTGAATATCCCTGCTATATGGAAAAACAAACACAGCTACAGTAAGAAGAGGAATTAGGAATAACGTTGGAGGTGTAATTTCCCAGGTCTTCATCAGGATAATTGGATCAAACAAATATAGATAATTTAGTTGCAATTCAGCTGTTTGTGAGTAGACATATTCACAGTCTTATATAGAGATATAAAGTATCTAACAAAAGTGAGTACACCCCTCACATTTTTGTAAATAGTTTATTATATTATTTCATGTGACAACACGGAAGAACTGACACTCTGCTACAATGTAAAGTAGTAAGTGTACAGCCTGTATAACAGTGTAAATTTGCTGTCCCCTCAAAATAACTCAACACACAGCCATTAATGTCTAAACCGTTGACAACAAAAGTGAGTACCCCACTGAGTGGAAATGTCAGTGTTGTCACATGAAAAGATATAATAAAATATTTACAAAATTGTGAGGGGTGTACTCACTTTTGTGAGATACTGTATACTGTAATTTTGTCTGCGCTAGTTTGGGAGGTTAGTAAATAGTTGCTATTCAGACACCTTTCAAAGCAGGAAAATTAATTAATATCAATATTTTCTTTTCCAGGTAAGATCCCATGGGAGCACTCACTAAGTAAGTTTATATTCTCCTCTAAAACCCCATTGGACAGTTAAACCCAAATTAATAAAAGGCCGCCACCGTCATTTTTCACCTCCGTAAGTTACAAAGTCCAACTAACTAAGAAAAGTCATGAGGGAATAAGCAGTGCTGCCATGGCATATTACCAGGAAAATAAAATATCGGTAAGTTTGAATTAAATTTCCTGTTTCTCAGCCATATCCATGGCAGCACTCACTAAGTTTATTCCCAAGCCAATAGGTCAGGGTTGGAAAAAAGACACAAAAAAAGAATACTGCTGCAAAAGAAGATTTATTGTAGAAAGTTAAGAATTGGCCCAAGCATTAATAACAGCTGTGCCAAATGCAGTATCTTTCGAAGCCATTACATCCAGGCTGTAATGTATCACAAATAGGGAAGACATCTGACAAGATCTAGTTTTTCCAAGTCTGCAGAACTTCCAGTAGTGGAGTGTAAAAGCAGGAAGCACAATGTCTTGATTCATGTGGAACAAAGATAGCACCTTTGTACGAAATTCCAGAGTAGTACGCAATGCTACCTTATACTCCTAGAAGGTGGTATAAAGAACCTTTGAAGAAAGAGTTGCCAATTCTGAGATCCTGCGTCCAGAGGCCAAGGCCACCAGAAGAGCTGGCTTGTGGCTGAGGAAGAAGACAGAAACTTCGGAAAGCGGCTCAACGGGAGCTTCCTAGGTAGCTGAAAGAACCATTGGCAATTGCCAAAGAGAACAAAATTATTTCCTTAGAGATCTAATATGTAGAACCCCCATGAGAAATAGAATGACATCCTGGTCCTGTGCCCACTTAAAGGACCACTCCATGTCACGAACGCACCCTACTTCAAGAGTGTGTGTGACGTAGTTGTAGTGGTGACGAGTTAAAGTTAACTATTTGTCTGCACTAGATGGAAATAATGATAAAATCCCCCTTAACACCACCCACACTTAAGCATAATAATATACCAAGACAATTTAGAAATGGGGTGCCTTGGTCCCACAGGTAACTTAATTATAAAACCCACCAAATAAAACTTAGCACAATATCGAAGCAATTGAAACACTAATTAGTCTCTTCCGGTAATGTGATTCTTTACCAGACAAAGAAAGAACTTAATACAGGAATATTTATTATGAGCAAAAAATAGTCACAGTGCATACAAAAATATAGATGATGATCAAATTAGTTACACCAACAACAGATAAAAACAAAAGGGATAAAATAACAGAAAGTCCTAATCACTTACTCAGGTTTTCAAAGTAAAAATACTGCCCACGGGGTCTCTGGTAAGGAAGATGGTGACTCCCTCAGAATTAGATTCTGACCCACCAGCAAGTACATACACACTTCAGTATCATTAGATATATACCCTGTAGATTACCAAGCCTAGGCCAGAGGTGGAGATAAGGCGTACCTATAGTAACTATAAGTGACCACCCCCTTGTGTTCCAGACCAACATCAATCCAAATGGAAACATTTGGTCATATCTCCTCTTTATGTACTTGCCACAGAAATAATAATAGCATCTATGAATTGATTACCATTTCTCCATTCCATAGATATGTCACACTTCTTACTTGTAACTCAATATAGAAGACATCCGAATCCCTTCCCATATGGTTAAAGGATCACTATAGTGCCCTGAGGGTGCCCCCACCCTCAGGGACCCCCTCCCGCCGGGCTGGATGGCAAGGAAAGGGGTTAAACTTACCTTTTTTCCAATGCCGGGCGGGGAGCTCTCCTCCTCCTCTCTGCCTCCGATCCTCCTCTTCGGCTGAATGCGCATGCGCGGCAGGAGCTGCGCGCACATTCAACCTGTCTCATAGGAAAGCATTCATAATGCTTTCCTATGGACGCTGGCGTGCTCTCACTGTGATTTTCACAGTGAGAAGTACGCAAACGCCTCTAGCGGCTGTCAATGAGACAGCCACTAGAGGCTTTAGAGGCTGGATTAACCCATTTATAAACAAAGCAGTTTCTCTGAAACTGCTATGTTTATTAAAAAAAAGGGTTAATCCTAGAGGGACCTGGCACCCAGACCACTTCATTAAGCTGAAGTGGTCTGGGTGCCTAGAGTGGTCCTTTAAGTTATGCAAATCATGTTTGGGCTTGATTAGAAGATTGTGCTTGTCCCATTCTAAATATAATAAAAATGAGGCTTAATTATTAATCTGTGGGTAAATATTAATGATTCTTTTGGATATGATACTGGAACACAAGGCTAATGGTCATTAACATATCAAAGGACCCCCTATCTAAGAGGGAATCTAGACATATGGCAATTTAGAGAGTTAGTTTATATTTAAACCAGACTTCCAGGCCTCTTATGTGTGACTTCTCACACCTTGCAGAGCCTTTGATTAATCAAAGGATCAATGAATATGGTAAACCATCTGCTCCCTTTCACATTCCAATGCAATTCACACTACACCTTCTGTCATCTGATCTTTACCAAGTGGTCAATTCATATATGCACTACACAAATTACATTAATATTCTATTGTGCAACAATGAATTATGCACCCTTGGAGTGATGCTAACAGACATACATACATACTAACAAACATACACTACTGGTCGGGGCATCCGTTCAGTTTTTTGCTCCGTATACCATTGGGTTCATGCCCCTCAGCCCTTTGACCTTGCATCTATAAAATCTCAAAACCACATAAAGTGAGCAATTATCAGACCTCAGATCAGATTTTAAAAACTCCCACATGGCCTTCCAGCCTATAAAGTAATGAACTGGAACTTTACTTCTGGGTTTGGTAACTTTGTGCATATGCAATAGAGGGTGCACAATGTGTGATGCAAACTCACATGTGCTGGCGTCCACAGGCTTGCCCCAATGAACCGCTGCCCAGGAAATTTCCTATAGACTGCAGGAGACCTCCACACAACCCTGACTGGCAAGCCTATAGGGGGGTCCATTTGCTACCAAGATTACAGCAAGTCACCCCAATTGCTAAGGGGACTCTTTGAAGGTTACCCTAGAGCAGCGATGGCAAGCTTACGCGTTCCACAGGTGGAAAGCCGGGCCCTCTCTGTGGGCACCCGACCATAGGTTGCCGGGGGAGGGGGCCGCTGGCTGTCTGCATCAATGCAGAGTAGGCACCTGCCCGAAATGGCAGGTGCCTACTTTACTTCCGTGTCCGGAGGCAGGGAGGAGGGATCGAGGAAGCAGCTCTCGCGAGCAATCTGTGTGGAGCGTTACCGTGCATTACCATGGCAATGCTCCACGCAGCATCGCGCGGGAGGACAGGAGAGCTGTTTCCTAGACATACAGTACTTACCACCACCGGACCACCAGGGATGGCTGTGTCGTCCCCCCCTCCTACACCAAATGTAAGAAGAAGGGGGGGATACAGATTTAATATATCTGTATTATTTTTTCATTAAATGTATCTATACCACCCCTCCCCCCACACAGCACCCCTCCCACAGACATCACCCCTACATTTTCCTCCCTCCCCACACAGCACACCTAACCCCCACACACAACACCCCCCTACCCCCACCACACAGCACCCGTACCCCCTCCCCACACAGCACCCTTAGCCCCAACACACAGCAAAGCACCCCTACCCCCCACACACACTGCACCCCTCACACAGACACACACAGCACTCCAAACACATACACTGCACCCCTCAATGCAGTATGTGTG